AGGACTACCAGCTAGCTGTTATAGCATATAACATCACTCCAAGAATCTGGGCGAATGTAAGCCCAGCGGAACTCCATTTTACTTACGGTATACGGGTTCCTGGTGACCGTGGTGACACAGACGGTGATATTGATTGGGACGAGTTGAGGGTGAAGTATTTCGATACGGATCTCTTGAGCTTTGTCAAAGATAGCGTCAAAGACCACTGTTGGAAAGCGCTAAGGAGAAGTTCACGGTTACCATGAGAGAGCACTTGGAGCTATGGCGTATGCGTCAAGAGAGAAATCTTGAGTGTATGGCTATGACAGAGGATCGTAGGTATGAACCTAAGTTATCCGACTTAGTGTTCCCCTCCAAGTGCCCGGCTAATCGCATTGGTCACCATCTTGATGTTATATGGTCTGGTCCTTCAACTATCACTTCACTCAACGGTACTGCAATGGTTGGTATAACCCCCGGTATTATTCTAGAAGGTGTTGGAGGGGTAGTTGTGAGTGAAGAGGGAAAGAGTCTAGAAGTGCCAGAAGGTTACGGTCCTTCGGAGGTATACCCACTTGAGAACATCAAGCATGCTCCGGCATTGCAAGGTGTGATTTATGGATATCTTCAAGAAGGGACAAAAGTCTTTCTGGATTCACAGGGAGCTATTAAGGATATGACCCTGAGGCCTGGAACGGAGATTGACGACTTACGTTTACTTCAACGTGCCAGGAAGAAGATGGATTTGGAGAAGATAGTTCGGGAATCCGGACGGGTCCGAGACGAATTTGGGTCAGAACTGTTACTCTCTCCTGGTATTTGTCCTTCTGATGAAGAGACACAACAGCTTGAGGATAGATTGCTACCACCAGAGAGCTTCATTATGGGTGACTCGGAGGAAGGTGTACCTTCTGAGGATGAGGATCCAGATGAGGAAGATATGGTGGATCTTTCAAGGCTTCGAGAACAACTTGGTGTTGATGATGATTATGAATTTAGAAGGTTCATGAAGAAAGCACCTCCAAATGGTTCGGATGTGGTTGTGGCGGACAATGACTACGACGGGTTAGCCACTGTTCTCGAGGGTGATGCGGGAACTGAGGATGGATCTATGTTGGTCCAGCCTATGAGGGTTGAACTCCTCGGTGGATGCTTAGAACATGCCAAGGCCACTGATGAGGACATCCTTACGGTACAGCTCGATAATATGGTCTACGTCAGTCCGTGTGACCATAAATGGACACGCAAAAGGAGTCGAGACCTATTGAAGCTATTACACGATGTCCAGGTTCCCCATTGCTAAGCCTCTATATAGATTTTACT